TGGTGCAGATAGTGTTGCATTCAAATATCAAGTTAAAGATCAAATATCCAAAGCATTAAGAATGAACAGAAATCTTTTGATTATGGTACAAATTATTTTGTTTCTTAGTTTTCAATCCCACTTTAGCAACATAACAATATGTATGATGTCGGAAAAAAAACACGTTTGAACTCGTAGTGAGTCAAAAATTGAAGTCAGGGAATCAGTGAAAAAGATCCATATTAAACTTTCGACGTGTGTTGATTCTCTTTTAGAAGCCAAATTTTAATCAAGTTTCCCACAAGGTGTCAAATAGTTAGTATTTAGATTATAATCATATAATAACAATATATAAAATAATAATATTTGGGAACTGTCAGTCACATACATAAATTCAAATACAAATAGATGGGTTGAATATTGAAAGAGTTCTTGACAACAAATTTCTTGGTGTCATTATTGATGATAAACTCAACTGGAAACCACACATCAGATACGTTCTAAGTAAAGTCTCAAGAAATATCGCCCTCCTGAACAAAGTCAAGTCGGTCATAGAACAAAAAGCATTACATGTATACTGTCCCATAATCTTACCTTATTTAAGTTATTGTGCAGAAATCTGGGGCAACAAATACTACACTACAGGCAGTAACAATACTACAAATAAGAGCAATAAGAATAATCCATAAGGTGGGATATTTAGAAAGCACTAATACACTATTTGTAAAAACTAAATTATTAAAGTTCATTGGCATAAACTACAGACAGCTATAATTCTTTACAAAGCCAAAAATAAACAATAACAGAAAACATTAAAAAAAAAACAAAAAAAACATGTGTATCAGTAAGTGGAGTCAAACTGTGGAATAATTAGAACATTGAACTTAGACAATGTCCAAACATAAAAGTGTTCAAATTATCATATAAACATATGATTTTTACTGGACATAATATATAATATTATTATTCAATTACTGTTAGTGTTGCTATTATTGGTGCTAGTCTTGTCTTTTTGGTGAAAAATAAATAATAATTGTTTATCTACTGTAGTTAAATTAAACAGATACTATATTGATGGGTTAGATACAGGTTTAGTTGTTATATGTATAGATTATACATGTAATAAATGAAAAATTATGTAAGTGGTTAAGGAGTGGGAATTTTGATAAGTTTATACTTCTGCCCACTCCCTTTAATATGTAAAACAAAAGTTTTGACATTATGCTTCATTCTGGGGGTTTTTTGTGTTTTTTTTTTTTTTTACATATTCAAAAAATAATAAACTAAACTAATATACATATGCATATGTATACATGTATATGTATGGGTATATGTATGCTTAGATGTGTGTACATACATATATATA